AAAAAAAAAAAAAAAAATGATGGAATTGATCAGTTAAGTTGCTGGTTTCTGAGTGAAATAATTATAGAATCGATTCATTTCCTCAAGGTTTTTGTACCCCGTAAACTTTCTAAGTTAGTGAAAAGAATTTATCAGCATGCGGGGAGTAGATTTCTAAGTGAAAAAAAATTCTAGAATTCTGATTACTAATTCATCGTAGAGGATGAACATTTACGCATCTGATTTTTAATTGAAATTAATCAGTTTTATAGAGTCGACGGTGTTTAAGTAAGAAATTGGTTTATCGATACTCGAACGAAGAAATCGTGGAGTCGATCAGCGTGCAATGTTTATGGTCGTCCAGCTTTCAATGAAAAGATCGTAGAATTAACCAGTTTGTAGACGGTAATTTGGAGCAGCTTATGGGTCGTTGGTTTGACGTTCTAGTACGAAATCGTGTAGCTTGTGTAACTGTTATCGATGCAATGGTGTACGGTTTTATCGCGAGAACATTCGCCAGGTTGCCGCGTATCAGCGTCGTGGAAACGCTCGGCACGGTCGTTCTAAAATATGATCGACCCGCGCAACAATTTACTCGCGATATTATCTCATGGCAAATAGGCTAGAAGACGCAGAGGTACTTTCCGTGAGTCAGGTAAGGAATTTACCGAGACTACTGTCGCCGTGCCGTGCATTCATTGAATCAATACGACACGTACGCCTCTAGGAATGTTAAATGACTGGCGGAGGAGCAAAGAGGAACGCGTGTTTCATTCCCAGCGATATGCCCGTTTCAATTGTTCCACCGAATTGCTCGTTAAAACGAAATTATCGCCAACATAACATTTATAATTTTCAGTCTACGATACTCTGTGCATTACGACTTCTTTTACGACTGTCTATTTTCTATCGGTTGCAGGAATGTTATTTTGCGATTTTAAACGTACCGCTCTCTTTTCTCTCAGTGGCTTTTATTTTGTAACTTTGAAACGGAAGTGAATTCTTTTCTAATTTTATAATGTGTAATGCCGTAATTTTATCGACAAATGAATGTAATCATATGGAACGTAAGTTTTGCCAGTCCAATTTGCCACCAAGTTTCAAAGAGTTTATAAAGTGTATTTTAGAATTTCTAATACGGGTATAAACTCGGTCTGTCAACCAACTCTCGTCCAAGAAGGCACTCTCCGCCGAGTAGACGAAACAGAAGAAGAGAAATACTACCAAAAAGAAGAGAAGGGAAGTCAGGGTGCGCCCTTCACACATCGCGGCTGCCCACGTTGATTTATGATGCGACGAAAATTATTGCCGCTGTTAAAATACCTCGAAGCGTGTTTATTGACAGACACGCGTTGCCTCCGCTGGCTGTTCGTGAAACAAGGCGGCCCTCGAGACGACAGGACTGTCCTTAAGACGACTCTAAACGCCGGCTGTAAAGCTTGCCGGTAGAAACGGATCGTAAGGATACCGTTTTTCGCCAGAAACGGGCCGCGTTTCTTCCAAATATGCAACTTTAATGGCTTCCCATCGAGGCTTCCGGTCGTTGAAGTCCAAGCTTCCGAGCATTTTAAAGCATTTCAACTGAACAGAGTGCTCTCGCGCGTGATCGCCGAACTCGCCTAGCGAGTCTTTTATCTCTGTTTTAATCTTAATTCCAATAATCTTTCATTTTTAATCGTTTGATACGAGAGTATGATAGAGGTTTATGTACGGCACATATTATTACGAGTTTCTATAATTCTTCGTGAGACACTTGAGAACTGTTAGTTAGAATATTCAGAGTTGTTCAAGTTTGGCGCAGGTAACTTTAAAGAGGTTTCCAAATGTTTTGATTAAGAACGAAATTGAATTAAG